CTGTCAGACTGTGACGGTCAGAGGACTTGACGGTCAACTGTGATGGTCAGACTGGACGTCAGAAGACTGTGACGGTCAGAACGTGACGTCAGACTGTGACGGTCAGAGACTGTACTGTCAGACGTGACGGTCAACGTGACGTTCAGAGACTGGTGACGGTCATGACGGGACGTCGACAATGACGCTCAGAGACGGTGACGGTCAGACCTGTGACGTCAGAACAGTGACTGGTCAGACTGTGACGGTCAGACGATGACGCTCAGAGACTGTGACGGTCAGACTGTGACGTCAGACTGTGACGGCAGACTGTGACGGTCAGAGACTGTGACGTCCAGAACTGTGACGTCCAGAGACGGAACGTCAGATGTGACGGTCAGAGACTGTGACTTGTCAACTGTACGGTAAAACTGATGACGGTCAGCAGACTGTGACGTTCAGACTGTTTCAGACTAAACGTTCAGACTGTGACGGTCAGACTGTGACGGTCAGACTGTGACTATCAGACTGTGACGGTCAGAGACTGTGACGGTCAGAGACTGTGACGGTCAGAGACTGTGACGGTCAGACTGTGACGGTCAGACTGTGAGTGTCAGAGACTGTGACGGTCAGACTGTGAGTGTCAGAGACTGTGACGGTCAGACTGTGACTGTCAGACTGTGACGGTCACACTGTGACGGTCAGACTGTGACTGTCAGACTGTGACGGTCAGAGACTGTGACGGTCAGACTGTGATGGTCAGACTGTGACGGTCAGAGACTGTGACGGTCAGACTGTGACTGTCAGTGACTGTGACGGTCAGACTGTGACTGTCAGACTGTGACGGTCAGAGACTGTGACGGTCAGACTGTGATGGTCAGACTGTGACGGTCAGAGACTGTGACGGTCAGACTGTGACTGTCAGTGACTGTGACGGTCAGTGACTGTGACGGTCAGACACTGTGACGGTCAGACTGTGACGGTCAGACTGTGACGGTCAGAGACTGACTGTCAGACTGTGACGGTCGGAGACTCTGACTGACAGACTGTGACGGTCAGACTGTGACGGTCAGACTGTGACGGTCAGAGACTGTGACGTTCAGACTGTGACGGTCAGACTGTGACTGTCAGACTGTGACGGTCAGACTGTGACTGTCAGACTGTGACGGTCAGAGACTGTGACGGTCAGAGACTGTGACTGTCAGACTGTGACGGTCAGACTGTGACTGTCAGAATGTGACGGTCAGAGACTGTGACGGTCAGACTGTGATGGTCAGACTGTGACGGTCAGAGACTGTGACGGTCAGACTGTGACTGTCAGAGACTGTGACGGTCAGAGACTGTGACGGTCAGACTGTGAGTGTCAGAGACTGTGACGGTCAGACTGTGACGGTCAGACTGTGACGGTCAGACTGTGACGGTCACAGACTGTGACGGTCAGACTGTGACGGTCAGAGACTGTGACTGTCAGACTGTGACGGTCAGACTGTGACGGTCAGACTGTAACGGTCACAGACTGTGACGGTCAGACTGTGACGGTCAGAGACTGTGACGGTCAGAGACTGTGACGGTCAGACTGTGACTGTCGGAGACTGTGACGGTCAGACTGTGACTGTCGGAGACTGTGACGGTCAGAGACTGTGACGGTCAGACTGTGACGGTCAGACTGTGACGGTCAGACTGTGACTGTCAGACTGTGACGGTCAGAGACTGTGACAGTCAGAGACTGTGACGATCATAGACTGTGACTGTCAGATTGTGACGGTCAGAGACTGTGACGGTCAGAGACTGTGACTGTCACAGACTGTGACGGTCAGACTGTGACGGTCAGACTGTGACGGTCAGAGACTGTGACGGTCAGAGACTGTGACGGTCAGACTGTGACTGTCGGAGACTGTGACGGTCAGAGACCGTGACGGTCAGACTGTGACGGTCAGAGACTGTGACTGTCAGAGACTGTGACGGTCAGACTGTGACGGTCAGACTGTGACGGTCAGACTGTGACTGTCAGACTGTGACGGTCAGAGACTGTGACGGTCAGAGACTGTGACGGTCATATACTGTGACTGTCAGATTGTGACGGTCAGAGACTGTGACGGTCAGAGACTGTGACTGTCAGACAGTGACGGTCAGACTGTGACGGTCAGACTGTGACGGTCAGAGACTGTGACGTTCAGGCTGTGACGGTCAGACTGTAACTGTCAGACTGTGACGGTCAGACTGTGACTGTCAGACTGTGACGGTCAGACTGTGACGGTCAGAGACTGTGACGGTCAGACTGTGACTGTCAGAGACTGTGACGGTCAGACTGTGACGGTCAGACTGTGACTGTCAGACTGTGACGGTCAGAGACTGTGACGGTCAGAGACTGTGACGGTCATAGACTGTGACTGTCAGATTGTGACGGTCAGAGACTGTGACGGTCAGAGACTGTGACTGTCACAGACTGTGACGGTCAGACTGTGACGGTCAGACTGTGACGGTCAGAGACTGTGACGGTCAGAGACTGTGACGGTCAGACTGTGACTGTCGGAGACTGTGACGGTCAGAGACTGTGACGGTCAGACTGTGACGGTCAGACTGTGACTGTCAGAGACTGTGACGGTCAGACTGTGACGGTCAGACTGTGACTGTCAGACTGTGACGGTCAGAGACTGTGACGGTCAGAGACTGTGACGGTCATAGACTGTGACTGTCAGATTGTGACGGTCAGAGACTGTGACGGTCAGAGACTGTGACTGTCAGACAGTGACTGTCAGACTGTGACGGTCAGACTGTGACGGTCAGAGACTGTGACGGTCAGACTGTGACTGTCAGACTGTGACGGTCAGACTGTGACGGTCAGAGACTGTGACGGTCAGACTGTGACGGTCAGACTGTGACGGTCAGAGACTGTGACGGTCAGACTGTGACGGTCAGACTGTGACGGTCAGAGACTGTGACTGTCAGACTGTGACGGTCAGACTGTGACTGTCAGACTGTGACGGTCAGAGACTGTGACGGTCAGACTGTGATGGTCAGACTGTGACGGTCAGAGACTGTGACTGTCAGACAGTGACGGTCAGACTGTGACGGTCAGGCTGTGACGGTCAGACTGTGACTGTCAGACTGTGACGGTCAGACTGTGACGGTCAGACTGTGACGGTCAGAGACTGTGACGGTCAGACTGTGACGGTCAGAGACTGTGACTGTCAGACTGTGACGGTCAGAGACTGTGACGGTCAGACTGTGACGGTCAGAGACTGTGACGCTCAGAGACTGTGACGGTCAGAGACTGACTGTCAGACTGTGATGGTTAGAGACTGTGACGGTCAGAGACTGACTGTCAAACTATGACGGTCAGACTGTGACGGTCAGACTGTGACGGTCAGAGACTGTGACGGTCAGAGACTGTGACGGTCAGACTGTGACGGTCAGACTGTGACGGTCAGACTGTGACGGTCAGAGACTGTGACGCTCAGAGACTGTGACGGTCAGAGACTGACTGTCAGACTGTGACGGTTAGAGACTGTGACGGTCAGAGACTGACTGTCAGACTATGACGGTCAGACTGTGACGGTCAGACTGTGACGGTCAGAGACTGTGACGGTCAGACTGTGACGGTCAGACTGTGACGGTCAGAGACTGTGACGGTCAGACTGTGATGGTCAGAAAGTGACGGTCAGAGACTGTGTCGGTCAGACTGTGACTGTCAGACTGTGACGGTCAGACTGTGACGGTCAGAGACTGTGACGGTCAGACTGTGATGGTCAGACTGTGACGGTCAGAGACTGTGACGGTCAGACTGTGAGTGTCATAGACTGTGACGGTCAGACTGTGACGGTCAGACTGTGACGGTCAGAGACTGTGACGGTCAGACTGTGACGGTCAAAGACTGTGACGGTCAGAGACTGTGACGGTCAGACTGTGATGGTCAGACTGTGACGGTCAGAGACTGTGTCGGTCAGACTGTGACTGTCAGACTGTGACGGTCAGACTGTGACGGTCAGAGACTGTGACGGTCAGACTTTGATGGTCAGACTGTGACGGTCAGAGACTGTGACGGTCAGACTGTGAGTGTCAGAGACTGTGACGGTCAGACTGTGACTGTCAGTGACTGTGACGGTCAGAGACTGTGACAGTCACACTGTGAGTGTCAGAGACTATGACGGTCATCCTGTGACGGTCAGACTGTGACGGTCAGACTGTGACAGTCAGACTGTGACGGTCAGAGACTGTGACGGTCAGAGACTGTGATGGTCAGACTGTGACGGTCAGAGACTGTGAAGGTCAGAGACTGTGACGGTCAGACTGTGACGGTCAGAGACTGTGACGGTCAGAGACTGTGACGGTCAGACTGTGACTGTCAGACTGTGACGGTCAGAGACTGTGACGGTCAGACTGTGACTGTCAGACTGTGACGGTCAGACTGTGACGTTCAGAGACTGTGACGGTCAGACTGTGACGGTCAGACTATGACGCTCAGAGACTGTGACGGTCAGACTGTGACGGTCAGACTGTGACTGTCAGACTGTGACGGTCAGACTGTGACGGTCAGAGACTGTGACGGTCAGACTGTGACGGTCAGAGACTGACTGTCAGACTGTGACGGTCAGAGACTGTGACTGTCAGACTGTGACGGTCAGACTGTGACGGTCAGACTGTGACGGTCAGAGACTGTGACGTTCAGACTGTGACGGTCAGACTGTGACTGTCAGACTGTGACGATCAGACTGTGACTGTCAGACTGTGACTGTCAGACTGTGACGGTCAGACTGTGACGTCAGAGACTGTGACTGTCAGACTGTGATGGTCAGACTGTGACGGTCAGACTGTGATGGTCACAGACTGTGACGGTCAGACTGTGATGGTCACAGACTGTGACGGTCAGACTGTGACGGTCAGAGACTGTGACGGTCAGAGACTTTGACGGTCAGACTGTGACTGTCAGAGACTGTGACTGTCAGACTGTGACGGTCTGACTGTGACTGTCAGACTGTGACGGTCAGAGACTGTGACGGTCAGACTGTGATGGTCAGACTGTG